AAAAAAAAAAAAAAAAAAATTGGATGGCTTAAATATAGACAAGAAAAAGAAATATTTGAAAAATTGCTTTTCAGTGAAAGTAATATACCTAGCAAAGCAACCCTAAGAAATTTGGTCTGAAAATTGCATATTACGGTTTAGGATATTAGTTTATTTCATGTTTCCTTTAATTCCTATGAAAGTTCTGGTCAGCATTTTGAATAGATAGAAGTTTTTTCTGTCTTGTTAAATATAAATCTGAGAATAAATTTGCTATGGAATAAATCTACTAATACTTATTTTTTATTTTTAATAGGATTTACCTAACCAGTTTTATCGAGATTCTTGTATTTTACATGAAGTTCTAAGGTAAGGTTCAGTGAGGTATTCTAAAGCTCCTAATTAAATGACAAGTGGCTTGAATTTCAACATTGCCGTATTTTGTTATTTTAGGAAGTACGTGCAGATTGGCCGATGTCCTCTTATATTTATAATCTCTGACAGTCTCAGTGGAGATAATAATCAAAGATTATTATTTCCCAAAGAAATTCAAGAAGAGTGCTCTATCTCAAATATTAGGTAAGAAATAAATTTGTGCTTGTAAAGTTTACCTATATGTTAAATTTTTAAATTAGTCATTTAACAACCATCTTTCTTTATAAAATTTCTACAGTTTCAACCCTGTTGCACCAACAATTATGATGAAATTTCTTAATCGAATAGTGACTATAGAAGCTAACAAGGTAAATCTCTGATGAATTGAATCTTAAATTGTAAATGTAGAAAGACCAGCTTAAATAGTATTATGTAAACTGGAGGAATTGGTGTCATGTGTTATTTCAGTTGAGAAAATACTTTTTAGAATTTACTTTTCTAAGGGCTGGTGCAGTGGCTCATGCCTGTAATTCCAGCACTTTGGGAGGCCAAGGTGGGTGGATTGCCTGAACTCAAGAGTTCAAGACCAGCCTGAGTGGCTTGGCGCCTATGGCTCAAGTGGCTAAGGTGCCAGCCACATACACTATGGCGGTGGGTTCGAATCCAGCCCGGGCCTGCCAAATAACAATGATGGCTGCAACTAAAAAAAATAGCAAGGTGTTGTGGCAGGTGCCTGTGGTCCCAGCTACTTGAGAGGCAGAGTCAGGAGACTCGCTTGAGCCCAGGAGTTGGAGGTTGCTGTGAGCTGTGATGCCAC